TAAACAACTAATAATTTCATTCTTTAAACATGAAAAGGTAAAAACTCTTAATTGCAATACAGTTCTTTATATACCAGAGTTGAGTTTTGTATTATGGAATAACAGATACCTCTAGTTAGGACCTTATATTCAATTCCTGATGAACAAAGTTACCATTTTTCATAGGATTCAAAATGTATGGGTGTTTTGTGATTCCAATGTACAGACCAGTCACATGCACAATAGTGCATTAACAGGAGCAGAACTTACTCATGCTGCTTTTCTCTCTCCTCTCATTGTGTTTATCTATAACTGAGGGAATAAAAATGCTCAGTGAACTTGCCTTTCATTAGAATTTCCTCAACAGGTCTGTGTGTGAAGGGAGGTAAAGCCCTAATTTGTCACAGCAAAATACAGTCCCCAGAAACAGCACTGTCCACAATACACGTTTTCAGAACTGCAGGAAACTAATTGGATTTGAGTTTCTTGTTCTCGTTTGGAGAATAAAAACCTTCAATCTTCAAAAGATTGTATTTTCAAAACAAAAGAGCAGCCACAGGAGTGCTACGTACTTGCTGTATAATAGATAGATGGCCCAGCTTTACTAATACAAAGCTGGAAAACCCTGAATGTCTGTATGATTGAGCCAGACCTACTGACACAAGGCCCAGCCCCCTAAAGCTTTGATGGCTGCCACTCCTCAGTTCTGAGATTCCCCCAGAATTGCAATTTCCAAGATCCCTGCCTCTGTAACAGCTCCAGAACTGTCCCAATATTTCCATCAGCAACTGCAGGGCACTTGGCAAAGGTGTGAAGTTACAGACTGTGGAAATGCAATCCCTCCAAAATACAAGGACTTGGTTTTACAACCACCCATCAGAAGTTCAGACAAGGCTTACTGGAAACTCCTGTCAAAAGGCTGAATCCAGCCTTTTTTTTTTGGGGGGGGGGAATCCTTTGGAAGTAAAACTATTCTGTCAAAAAGTTTTCATGGATGAACCTAAGTTGGACTGGAGCCATTATCTCAGTATTAGCTCAAAAATATACACTTTACCATTCAAGGATGTTTATCACATTCCTTTCTGTTCTAAAATTCCTAATCCCCCCCTTTCCTTTAAATTTAGAGTCACTGTAGCTAAGTAATATCTAAAATCCAGTCAAAGCCACAAGAATACCATTTCTAACACACTTTAACACCTCACCGGCAGGTGGCAGACAAATCCCTGAAAACAAACCACCAGGATCCATCCCTCTTCCACAGCACTCAGTTGGAACTTTTCAAAAAATAAACCATCTCCAGTAGGAGGATTAAAAAGTGTGAACTGAATGCAACAGTTATTAGACACTTCCAGCTTCCAACAGCCTCCTCTTTCAAAAAGACAAATACTGGCTAACCTTTCTGTACAGAATTACCCACAAACCTTGTTACGTGGAATGTGACCAGAAACACAATACACCCTAAAAAATCCCTCAAAAAAATCAAACCAAAACCTGCAAAATCTTCTAGTCCCTTTTCAAGAAATGTAAAGGGGTCATGGATGGGAAAACAAAGGCTCCCAGAGATGCAGTTACATGAAAGCCCACAGGATACCAATATATCTCATCCATTTAATGGTTTCATCCAAAATTCACGTAAGACTTCTATAAACCTACAAACAGAACTCAGACATCATCTCATGAGTGGCTTAAAAAGCCAATTCTGCTTAGAGCTTGGACTGAAAAAAGCCATCAAATACGAAGCTGAAAAGTTCAAACGTATCAAAAAACATCAGCTAAATACAACCAGAGTCCTGGCTGTCAGTGACACTTTTACATGCAAATTATTTAAAGTAATGCAAATTAGCATTTTATTTAAAGTTTCTTATTCACTCAAGATAAAGTGGTGTAACAACCTAATGTTTTCCTTCTGAAGAAGTGACAGGACAAAAAGTCAAAAGACAATGACTATTCTAGTTTAAGAACTAATATTGTCTCCCTCAAAAATTGAAGAGCTGCCACATATGGCACTTAAAGCAGGCAGATCACTTGTGTTTGATGTAAAGGTAGTTTACATGATATATTCCAGGCATCAAAGGTAATTTGGGAGGTTGGGGAGGGGCAGGTAGTTAAGCACACAGTTGAAATTAAATTACTCTACTGGAAGATGTTTTGAAACATTAAAATTGAGACCAATTATCATTTGACCAGGGATTAGAGTGAAACTTAGATGTTTATATATGCACCTCAATTTAAAAAAAAAACAACTAGATGTAATTATACTGAAGGTAAACTTGCCATCAATATTATGAACAGGGCTGTTTTGGTAAGGCTTTGCACTCTTGAGTCAGTCTTATGTCTTCCCTATTATACATTCTGGATGTGTTTTACCTCTAGTGAGACTCCATTTGTAACAGTAATTAAGATGTGACTTCACCTGAGTTCACAGGCAGCAACACGTACACTAATAGTTTTAAGAAAGTATAAGCACTTAAAGACACACCAGCAGCCTCAGGATGCTGAGAAGTTAACACACTATCAAAAACCTGATAGTCTCAAATAATTTATTCAAAAGAACTTACTATATCCTTAAAGTTAGGCATTCAGCTAAAAACATGAATAACAAATCAAGCGAACTGTGCAAAGGAGAACAGCTGAATGCCAAATACAAGACTGAACAAGGCCCAGCCTTAGTTGCCACTAGTCAGAAAGTGCTATATTGAAACACAAAATTTGCCGCCGTCATTCAAGAGCAAAACATTGGGAAATCAGAAAGAGGGAAAAGAAACACCAACCCCTCCTCGCTGCCCATCCACGTGTATGGAGCGAATGTGATCCGCCAGGTCCGGGCTGGAGCTGAAGCAGGCGTGGCAGTGATCCCAACAACAGTTGTAGGCAATGCTTTTGGCAGAGGAGGCAGGAACTCCTTGGCCGTTCATCATGACCGGGGTGGAACGCCCGCTGGAAATTGTGCTGTCCACGTCCATGATCGTGCTGCTTATACTGCAGGACAGAACAAGAGCAAAACCGAACCCAAGTTGGTATTTGTTGCACGTTAACAGAACAAATAAAAACTGTAGCTCTTTTGTTTCGGATGTATTTAGACAGGTTGAAAAAAAAAACTTAAACAAACTTACTATTTATGTACAGTTAGGAAACAGCTACTATCATTTGACAGTGTAACTTCTGTACACTGGGAACAAAAGGGAGGAATGGAAACTTCTCCCCTTCACTGACTTGTCAGAAAATTAGCTCTTAGGTGATTAACAAAGTAATTTTTAAGCCATATTCGTTATATTTATTTCCCAGGAGAGAAGAAAAGGAAAAAGACCAGCACCCCCCACCAGCACTAGACGCTTAAAAAGAATACAAAACTCAAGTTTTACAGGTTTAAGGTACTCCCACATTGTCCCAGCATAGTGTCTTTCACATGCATTGCCTAAACTAATGCTTTTTGTTTCGAGGTTTTTTAAACTTTCCAGAGAAGTCAGAGGCAGCAGAGGGAATCCGTGGCCAGCAGGGGTCATTTTCATCAGCCCTCCAGCTCTCTACCTCGGCAGATACAGAGAAAACATCAAGGGATCAGAACAAGGTTGCAGAGAGCGTGCTCTTTCCACATATATAAGAAAAAAAAGCACGGAGACAAAATGTTCTTCCTCATTAAATAGCTACTGATACACCTTTTTTTTTTTATCTTGGTAACCTGCTCACTGCCTTTTAGGACCTTTATGTTTTGTCTTCCACAAAGCCACAGCATTACAGAGCAGCTCATCTTTGGCAGGACCTCAAAAGACCAGGTGGTCAAATCTCCTTAAACAGCAGCAAGTGAGATCAGATCGCTTGTGGTCTTGTCCAGTGGAGTTGTTAATGGGTGTTTTCAAAGGCTGGAATTTCTGCTACCTTTCTGAACAATTTTCTCGATGTCTGACTAACCTTGCTGTGCGGGAGGGAGAAAATTTCCCAGCATCTCATCAGAATTTCCAGTGTTGTAACTTCTGTCTGTGGCCTCTCATCCTTGGCAGCTGCAGGGTTGAGATGACTCTGCCTCCTCCACTGTTAAACCTCCCCACCAGACCACTGAACACAGCAACAACCCTGCCCTCCTTTATCCTAAAACTAAAGAAACCCACTCTCTCAGCCTCTCCATGTATTGCATCTGCTTCAGCATCCAAACCACCTTGGAGACTCTCCAGTATGTGAGTAACTGGGATGAGTCCCAGTAATCCACAGTCTTAATGGTGCCAAGTAGAGTTAAGAATCACTTCTCCTGACCATATACATACACTTTTGCTAATACAGCCCATTATGCAGCAGTAATTTTTGCATAAATATCTTTAAATATTCTTCTGAGCAAAGTGCAAGGAAAAAAAAAATCTAATTACGTTACTTTTAAAAAAAAAAGAAAATAGCCATTTCCTATTCAGATCTACATAATATTTATGATTTTCTATCATTTATCACATCCCTTTTCTTCCCTAACTCTTGTAGATAATTTCTATGTTAAATCATTCTGCTTTTAAGGTGTAGGTGCCGTTCCATATTTTTGACCATCACTGTTTACATATCCAGTATTGTTTTATCACACATTCTGAGATGGATGAAAGAAAAACTACACCTTTATTAAAAATCAGAAGATATAATTGGCACGTTTGTTCTTTTGCTCTAGGAGTCTCTACTAGTGACTTCTCAAATTATCTGTTATCTTTTTTAGTCACTACTGTGCTAGCAGCTTTTTTCTGTGATATATTTTGAAATTATCACAGATATTTGCCTTTTTTAGATTTCCCCTTCTCACCTACCATGTGGATTCCACTGCATTTTTCAATTAAAAAAAAAAAATCTTGCTTTAGTGAAAACTTGCAGATTCTCTTTAGCAATGTTCCCAGTTAAGCTTTAGTTTTAACTACCCTGAGTAATTTGGTTTCATAAGCAAACTCTGATAAGAGATACCAGCAAGGTACCATTTATGAAAATGCCAAACACCACATCCCAAACACAGACCCCTTAAAAATCTTCTTCCAATCCATTAGTCTCCACCTATTATTAAAACTGACCAATTATTCTTAGGCCTTTGTTTTCCAAGTTAAAAAGAAAACTTTAGAGACCTTTTCAACAGGCTTTTTGCTTTAACAAAGGCATATCAAATACATACTTCCTAAATGCTACATGAACACCACCTGCCTTTTTCTTCCCCCCACCCTCCCAATTTCAAAAAACACCTAAAAATTTAGAAGGCACCACGAAAGAAGTGGGTAGAAACTTCTACCCATGAAAGTCATATGGGCTACTTGCTGTACACATGTGCCCATTATTCTTATTTTCTTCCTTTTTCTACACCCTGAACACACACAGCTCTCCATGATTCCTCCCCCCAGGTAGGTGACTCCCCACCCAGTAGTCTTGATTCCTTTTGTGACACACAATCTCCCAATCTGTGATTAGCAAGTAAAGAAATGGCAGCCAACCAGAGATACAGTTTTGGGTGTTTTTTATATTACTGCCTTTCCCAAATACCTTACTTTATATTCAATGGAAGCTTAAAAAAACAATTCAACTAGCCCTGAGCTGAATCTACCAGCCTCAAGAGCATCAACAGCCACTAACTACAGCTACTGGCCACAGCATTTTAGGAACCCTGCAGGAAATTGTCAGAAGCTTTAAATACAAAACGTGTTGCAAGCAATCCCAATTTTTCCACCATGCCAGGCTCACAATAACTATGGGACTGACACCTCCTCAGCTGATGCCTAGGCCAAAAATTATCCCCAAAAATAAAATCTGTAAAACTGCACCGCGAAAGCAAAGTTTACCTACAGGATGACAGACAAACTGAATAATTAGTTATTAAATAGTTAATTGTCACACACAGGCACGCACCTCTACCCTCAGTTTAAGCTATCCCAATACAGTTCTCTCAAAATCAGCACTTGGAAGTAGGTTTGGGCACACACAAAACAGCACCCAGCCACTTCTGTCACAGACAGTGATGTTACACGGCTCAGTGGTCCCCACAGGAAGCTGCTTAGCCAAGGATGGCAAAGTACTGCAGCAGCACTCCTGCAACAGCTGCCCCAGACCAGTTCAGGTGGGTGAGTGACCCTGCCTTTCTCACGGCTCAAGGTACCCAAGGACAGCTTCATAAACACTCTTATCAGCAGGAGTTCAAACTTCCAAGCTGTTTATAGTCAGTACGAGTTTCCACATCCACGGACAGCATCAGTACCTTTCCCACACCCTCCCCAGACTTCTGACTGAGAGGATGAACAGTGCTGGTGACCACAAGGACAGACTGCAAGGGGGGTTCAGCACAGCCCTGGTTTTACAGTCTGGTTTTAAGCAGGGAAGCAGTAAGAGCATGTAAGGCTGAACAGTTCCAGGAAAAAATTTGGGGCCGGGGGGGGAGAAGGTGTGTGTGGTTTGTGTGTGGTTTCTCCAGTTCACAGGCATGAAATCTGCTTAATTCCTCTGAGATGAAAAAACCTCAAATTGATAAACCTGTGTGAGAGTTTATTTCACACTGCAAATACAATGCAACATATCTTGACACAAAATCACAGCTCTCTAATTTTACAGCCTAAGAAATGTAAATATTAGATTTTGGGGTTTCTTTTTTATATTTTGTCCTACCTGTAAAAAATTCCTCTTGTTTTTGGATAAAAAGATGTAAAAGTCAACTAATAATACTGACCCAGAAAAAGCTATCCTGATAAGTAGGGTTATTAATGACATGAGAAACCAATAACACTTAGAAAGCTGATTTATTTCTAGTAGTTTAAATGTTTGCTAGGTTTGGTTCTAATAGCCTAAGTGTTTGCTGAGGGCTAACAGATTAGAGCTGCATACACGGCATCAAAATTTTGTACCAGAGGAACTGGAATTAAAAAAAGGTTGGTTGTAACACTTAAACCAAGTAGTAGCACACGGAATTTCTTGGAAATTGAGGATGAAGTGCTGGACTATGATTCTATAACCTATTCAAGATTCTGTCTAAAAAGGGGGGGAAATAGAACTCAAATCCAGTTGAGTAGAAACAGTTCAGTATTTTATTTAAGACAAAATGCCCTCCTTTCTTCTAGTTTGAAAACCTCTGTGTAGTGCATCAAAAAGCACAGATGAATATTGCAGTAACAGGATCTACTAGAGCAACAGCTAAACTGCTTATGAAACAAAATAGCCAGGAGTCACACCAAAACAGACCACTGTTTTCAGAGGGTTCTCTAGACAGACCCTGCCCAAATGCAAGAAACTCACTGCCCTGGCACATTCCTTCTCTAGAAACAACCCATTAAATAAAAATATAAAATACATTTTTTGTTTCCTCCTCTGTGCTTCCAGAACCAGCATATTTCAGGTGATCAGGCACCTCACAGTGCTGAGAACCTAGAATTAATTTCTGTCTCTCACTCGGCGAGTTCTGTCCCCCTGAAGAGGCAAAGGCTGCAAAGACAATCTGTGAAACTCGAGTACCTTGCCCAGCTCAAGCGTGTGCAGTTTTCTCTCGTCTCTCATACAGTGAGAAAATACCAGGAAGCTTTTCAGAGAAAAGTTTGCAGTATATATAGCATCAAAGACACTGCCTTGGGAGGTCTCTTGACCTGCCATTTCGAGATGAAGCAGAAAGATAAGTTTTACAGTCAGAGCTGCGGCTGCTGCTGAGCGTCTGAAGACTGAAGTGCAACACTGTGTGTGTCAGAGCTGCCGAGTCACCCACTTCTTTGTTTCTCCTCATTCCAGAAAGGGTGTGAGGGTAGGACACATGGGGTGTGCACATACTCCACCATATTAACTAGTCCACTTGAGACTTTTCCTCACTGAAAGCATCGACTCAGCCCAAGAAGGGTTGGACAGAAACAGCGTCTGTATCTTTCTATCTATGAATGGGGCTTTTCAGTCCAATCTTGGGATGATACAACACATGGAAAAATTCCTTTAAAAAGGGAAGGTAGTAATGGAAATTATGTCCTCCTGCTTTCTCATCTGAAATCCACTAAGCCTACAAGTGG